GCTTGTGATAGGGGGCGCTGAGCGCGTTCTTAACACGCACCCTCGCTCGCCCTCGCTCGCCCTCGCTCGCCCTCGCTCGCCCTCGCTCGCCCTCGCTCGCCCTCGCTCGCCCTCGCTCGCCCTCGCTCGCCCTCGCTCGCCCTCGCTCGCCCTCGCTCGCCCTCGCTCGCCCTCGCTCGCCCTCGCTCGCCCTCGCTCGCCCTCGCTCGCCCTCGCTCGCCCTCGCTCGCCCTCGCTCGCCCTCGCTCGCCCTCGCTCGCCCTCGCTCGCCCTCGCTCGCCCTCGCTCGCCCTCGCTCGCCCTCGCTCGCCCTCGCTCGCCCTCGCTCGCCCTCGCTCGCCCTCGCTCGCCCTCGCTCGCCCTCGCTCGCCCTCGCTCGCCCTCGCTCGCCCTCGCTCGCCCTCGCTCGCCCTCGCTCGCCCTCGCCCTCGCTCGCCCTCGCTCGCCTTCGCCCTCGCTCGCCCTCGCCCTCGCTCGCCCTCGCTCGCCCTCACCCTCGCTCGCCCTCGCTCGCCCTCGCTCGCCCTCGCTCGCCCTCACCCTCGCTCGCCCTCGCTCACCCTCGCTCGCCCTCGCTCGCCCTCGCTCGCCCTCGCTCGCCCTCGCTCGCCCTCACCCTCGCTCGCCCTCGCTCGCCCTCACCCTCGCTCGCCCTCGCTCGCCCTCGCTCACCCTCGCTCGCCCTCGCTCACCCTCGCTCGCCCTCGCCCTCGCTCGCCCTCACCCTCGCTCGCCCTCGCTCGCCCTCACCCTCGCTCGCCCTCACCCTCGCTCGCCCTCGCTCGCCCTCGCTCGCCCTCACCCTCGCTCGCCCTCACCCTCGCTCGTCCTCACCCTCGCTCGTCCTCGCCCTCGCTCGCCCTCGCTCGCCCTCGCTCGTCCTCGCTCGTCCTCGCTCGTCCTCGCCCTCGCTCACCCTCACCCTCGCTCGTCCTCACCCTCGCTCGTCCTCACCCTCGCTCGTCCTAACCCTCGCTCGTCCTCACCCTCGCTCGCCCTCGCTCGCCCTCGCTCGCCCTCACCCTCGCTCGCCCTCACCCTCGCTCGCCCTCACCCTCGCTCGCCCTCACCCTCGCTCGCCCTCGCTCGCCCTCGCTCGCCCTCACCCTCGCTCGCCCTCACCCTCGCTCGTCCTCACCCTCGCTCGTCCTCGCCCTCGCTCGCCCTCGCTCGCCCTCGCTCGTCCTCGCTCGTCCTCGCTCGTCCTCGCCCTCGCTCACCCTCACCCTCGCTCGTCCTCACCCTCGCTCGTCCTCACCCTCGCTCGTCCTAACCCTCGCTCGTCCTCACCCTCGCTCGCCCTCGCTCGCCCTCGCTCGCCCTCACCCTCGCTCACCCTCACCCTCGCTCACCCTCGCTCACCCTCGCTCGTCGTCGCTCGTCCTCACACCGACCCACATCGCGGTCCCCGGACACTCACAGCCCAGACTCGAGGGCTGTGACGTCACATATGTCTCTCCCACGACGAGGGTCGATGTTGAGGGGCAGGAGGAGGAGGGGGGCACGATCTCCGAGGGAGCCGGGTGAACGGGGGACGGTCCCGGGCAACGAAGTGAGCGCGTCGATTACGTCACCGGCTACCCCGCCCCCCACGCCGCGACTCGAGACGCTCACGGAGCCCCGTGAACTGAGATCGTGACAACCGCGGCGACTCACGTCTGTCACCAAGCACACACATTTGACTGTTGTCGAACCCGCGTGTTAGACCAATGCCCTGTGCAGACGATGGGAAGAACGGCCATAGAGACGGAGACAGAGATAGAGAAGCAGAGGCATAGACACACAGCGAGACAGACTCGGGATACGGGAGAGAGACGATTACATAGGCGCAGAGAAGGGGGAAAGGAGAGGCACGATACAGACAAGCAGAGAGAGGCACAGAGGCAGAGAGACAGACAGACACAATGACAGGGGAAGACGCGGGTAGAATATGGGGGTGATGGAGTACTGTGTTGGGAGTTCGGCGCACGAGTCATCTGGCACTTGCGTGAGAAAGGGTCTTGGGTATCGCGGAATGCGTCCAGCAGCCTCGACTCTGGTGGCTCCGATCTGCGGTTGCGAATCACTACTCTGGGAGACAATCCACAACCCGAGCCCTAATCCTAAATCTCGCGCATCCACCCCAACACTTCTCCGCTCACCCCCACCCCCTAACCTGTCCCCACGTGCGGCCATCGCGCTCATTCACTCGCCTCGCACCGAGGCGCGTGAGCCCCAATCCACAATTGCGCTTGGAGGCAGCAGTGACTTTCGGGGCAGCAGCGAATTCTCACCGCAGCGCAACTCCGAGCCGGGCTGCTGCACGCAGCTGGGGACTTCTGGCAGCGAGGGTCGCGGTGCGTGTAAGGGCCCAGTGGCTCGGCAACCAAAATGACAAGGAGATTAAAAACATTCGAAACAAAACAAGAGCCGTCAGTGCACCACGTGAGTACACACGTTACGTCACGAGGCGGTCCGTAAAGAGCCACGGCGTGCGGCTCCGGAGCCACAGGTTGCCGAGCCGCTGGCGTGGAGCGACTGGGGCTCCCTGGTGTGACTGGGGCTCCCTGGTGTGGCTGGGGCTCCCTGGTGTGACTGGGGCTCCCTGGTGTGACTGGGGCTCCCTGGTGTGGCTGGGGCTCCCTGGTGTGGCTGGGGCTCCCTGGTGTGGCTGGGGCTCCCTGGTGTGGCTGGGGCTCCCTGGTGTGACTGGGGCTCCCTGGTGTGACTGGGGCTCTCTGGTGTGGCTGGGGCTCCCTGGTGTGACTGGGGCTCCCTGGTGTGGCTGGGGCTCCCTGGTGTGACTGGGGCTCCCTGGTGTGGTGTGACTGGGGCTCCCTGGTGTGGTATGACTGGGGCTCCCTGGTGTGGTGTGACTGGGGCTCCCTGGTGTAGAGCGACTGGGGCTCCCTGGTGTGACTGGGGCTCCCTGGTGTGGTGTGACTGGGGCTCCCTGGTGTGGTGTGACTGGGGCTCCCTGGTGTGGCTGGGGCTCCCTGGTGTGGAGCGACTGGGGCTCCCTGGTGTGGTGTGACTGGGGCTCCCTGGTGTGGTGTGACTGGGGCTCCCTGGTGTGGTGTGACTGGGGCTCCCTGTGTGACTGGGGCTCCCTGGTGTGGGGCGACTGGGGCTCCCTGGTGTGGAGCGACTGGGGCTCCCTGGCGTGGAGCGACTGGGGCTCCCTGGTGTGGTGTGACTGGGCCTCCCTGGTGTGGTGTGACTGGGGCTCCCTGGTGTGGTGTGACTGGGGCTCCCTGGTGTGGAGCGACTGGGGCTCCCTGGTGTGACTGGGGCTCCCTGGTGTGACTGGGGCTCCCTGGTGTGGAGCGACTGGGGCTCCCTGGTGTGACTGGGGCTCCCTGGTGTGGTGTGACTGGGGCTCCCTGGTGTGGTGTGACTGGGGCTCCCTGGTGTGACTGGGGCTCCCTGGTGTGACTGGGGCTCCCTGGTGTGGAGCGACTGGGGCTCCCTGGTGTGACTGGGGCTCCCTGGTGTGACTGGGGCTCCCTGGTGTGGAGCGACTGGGGCTCCCTGGTGTGACTGGGGCTCCCTGGTGTGACTGGGGCTCCCTGGTGTGGAGCGACTGGGGCTCCCTGGTGTGACTGGGGCTCCCTGGTGTGACTGGGGCTCCCTGGTGTGGTGTGACTGGGGCTCCCTGGTGTGACTGGGGCTCCCTGGTGTGACTGGGGCTCCCTGGTGTGGAGCGACTGGGGCTCCCTAGTGTGGTGTGACTGGGGCTCCCTGGTGTGGTGTGACTGGGGCTCCCTGGTGTGGTGTGACTGGGGCTCCCTGGTGTGGAGCGACTGGGGCTCCCTGGTGTGACTGGGGCTCCCTGGTGTGGAGCGACTGGGGCTCCCTAGTGTGGTGTGACTGGGGCTCTCTGGTGTGGTGTGACTGGGGCTCCCTGGTGTGGTGTGACTGGAGCTCCCTGGTGTGGTGTGACTGGGGCTCCCTGGTGTGGTGTGACTGGGGCTCCCTGGTGTGGTGTGACTGGAGCTCCCTAGTGTGGTGTGACTGGGGCTCCCTGGTGTGGTGTGACTGGGGCTCTCTGGTGTGGTGTGACTGGGGCTCTCTGGTGTGGTGTGACTGGGGCTCTCTGGTGTGGTGTGACTGGGGCTCTCTGGTGTGGTGTGACTGGGGCTCCCTGGTGTGGTGTGACTGGGGCTCCCTAGTGTGGTGTGACTGGGGCTCTCTGGTGTGGTGTGACTGGGGCTCCCTGGTGTGGTGTGACTGGAGCTCCCTGGTGTGACTGGGGCTCCCTGGTGTGGAGCGACTGGGGCTCCCTAGTGTGGTGTGACTGGGGCTCTCTGGTGTGGTGTGACTGGGGCTCCCTAGTGTGACTGGGGCTCTCTGGTGTGATGTGACTGGGGCTCTCTAGTGTGGTGTGACTGGGGCTCCCTAGTGTGACTGGGGCTCTCTGGTGTGATGTGACTGGGGCTCCCTGGTGTGGTGTGACTGGGGCTCCCTAGTGTAGTGTGACTGGGGCTCCCTAGTGTGACTGGGGCTCTCTGGTGCGGAGCGACTGGGGCTCCCTGGTGTGGAGCGACTGGGGCTCCCTGGTGTGACTGGGGCTCTCTGGTGCGGAGCGACTGGGGCTCCCTGGTGTGACTGGGGCTCTCTGGTGTGGTGTGACTGGGGCTCCCTGGTGTGACTGGGGCTCTCTGGTGCGGAGCGACTGGGGCTCGTGTCTGGGCTGACGAGGCGAAGCCACGACGACGACGCGCGGCGTCGAGAGACGGGGTCGGGTCGGACACCCACCAGTCTCTCTCGCGCCTTCACGAACTCTTCCGACTCTCTACACTGACACTCAAAAGACTCCCTGGATCATCGACGGGCGCGCCAGAACGCGGAGTCGCTCGCGACATCACCGTCCCGTCCCCGTTGCCGCCCGCTCTGGTGCCAACGCGACCCGCGCCGCTGGCGGGGCCGGTTTCGTGTGCGTTGGCGAGGGGGCGGAGGGGGGGTTCAGTGAGGCGAGGGAGTCGTGTGCCGCGAGCAGGTGGCGGTGCGAAGGTTCTTGCCTGCTCCTTGACGGACGCCAAGATGAGCGAGGCTCGGGCCGTCTCCTGCGCGCTGTCTCTTGGCGGTCTCCGCGCCACCCCTGGGCAGTTGTTCACGCCGACTCCTGGCTCCGCCGCCCTCGGGACCTCCTCCGTGGCCATGTCTGCTCTGCGCACGGGGCGAGACGGAGCTGCCCTCAGGGGCCACATTGGGCGCAGCGGTCTCGCTCTGGCGTCGTCAAACGAAGCCGAAGCGAGGCTCCGTGCAGAGTCCCGGGCACACGAGGATCCGGAGCGGCACGGAGAGCGTCTTCACGTGGAGACCTCGCGCGAAGAAGAAGACAGCCGAGTCAAACGCCGCGAGAAACGGCGGCAGCGGCGGCGGCCACGACGCCCCCGCGACTCGCAACCCTCGCTCCCACAAGGCGACATGGCGAGAGGCCGGCACATAGAGAGAGAGAGAGCAGCGGTGAGAGAGACAGAGAGACACGGACACACAACAACAATGAGAGACAGAGACACACGAAGAGAGGGAGACAGAGAGACAGAGCGACCCCTGCAATCCTCCATCCTGGATCTGACCTACCGGAGACTCCACGGAAGATGTGGACACTTTCTCCACAAATGGACAATTTAACGAGAGTCCAGTTTGTGACCGTGGTGGTGCGACGTCTCAGACCGTGCAAGGTGTCGTGGACGACTGCCCCAATCGGACCACTCAACGGCGATCTGAAACAAATACACGCGGCTACTCCTGACGCAGTCGGATGGATATCAAATCTCAATTTGTAATCTTTTGCATTCCCCAAAATTCGTATGCAAATGCCACACGAAATAAGAAGAGCAACAGTGAGAGAGGCGGGTAGACTGAGACACATACACAGATCAACAGTGACGGAGGGAGAGAGAGATGGAGCACGAGAGACCGAGAGCGGCGTCTCAGAGCCCGCACCACCTGAGACACGGAGGAGCTTCGCCTCCGCGACTCCACGGACCGCGGCGCCCCCAGTCCAGGGCCCCGCTCCTGCCCCGCAGCTCTCGCGTGTGGAGGCTGCGTCACTCGCTAGAATACCAATTACAGCAGGGCCCATTCACAAGGAGCGAGGGCCGTTCCGTGACGGAGCGCCGCCTCCATGTTCGCCAAGGGGTTGTGGTGGGGGGGGCAGGGGACGCGGCGACGTTTGACGGCGGCGGAAAGGAGCGCGACTCGCGTGGTGAAGGCGCGGGGAGGGCGAGGGGGGGGAGCCAGCGAGAGGCAGTCCCCGAGGGTTTCCATGTTCATCGCGCCGTCGGGTTGCGTTTGCGCGTTTAAAATCGTGCAGAAGAGGGAGGATGGAGGAGATGGCTGCGGGGGGGGGGGGGGGCACGCCGACGTCTCTGGAGCCGCTCTCTCCACGCCGCTCCCTCCCCACTCCGCGGCTTTCGTTCCCGACTCGTGGAATCTCTTGCCCTTGCGACCCCTCCTCTTTCACGCTTTGCCTTCCCCCCCACTTCCCCGCGGCTCCCGCCTCCCTCCTCCCCTCATTCGCATTCCGGATGCTCCCGCGCTCTGCTCCCCCCATTCAGGGAGCCGCGCTCGTGCCATTAACGTCTCCGTGAAATGCGGCACCGAACATTCCCCACGCTAATTAGAGCGCTCGCGGAGCCGGAGCCCGGTCGCTTCCTCCTCGCGTCGTTACTCCCGCACGTTTTCGCCGAAAATAACGGAGAGAAACACATTTAACAATAAAAGTTGCATCTCCTCTCGCGTGGCGCGTCTGATGTGCGGCTTCAAAGCGCCCCCGGGGCCACGGCGCGCGACACGGCGCGAACCGCTTCAACCCCGGATTCGTATCCACGCCGCCTGAGACGAAACCCCGCGAATATCCTTCGCCCCCTCCCCTTCATCCTTCCCCGGGCTCTGCACTGCTCCGCTGCATCTGACGATGGAGTCTGAGAACCCGGCCGCTCCCGCCTCCCGCCCTTAATAACGCGCTGTGTGATGGCTGAAGGAGCCGGGTGCGACTTCTGACACGAGCGCGCGCGAGGGGTCAGGCCTATTTACTGAGCGTCAGTTACAGAGGAGGGGAGAGGGGGTGTGGGGGGGTGTAAGTGTGGGGGGGGGGCGCCCCCAACTCGAGAGCAATAGCCAAGTCCGCGCCTCCGAGACAGGCATGAAGGTCGAGGTGAAGGCGCGATCATTCGCGAGATAAATCTGTCCCTAATGTTCATGGTGAGAACGATTGGGATAATCGTTCTCACCATGAGCATCCACGCAATCCTAACCCGAACATTTGTTCGAACCCGAATCGTTGCCCAAATCCTGACCCTCTCTCGAGCGCTAGTTCGAACACTCGCGCATCTCCATTGCCTCTGCGAGAGATAATTCCTCACGTGCGAAGGAATCGTAAAGGATGGAGGGGAGGGAGGCAGTGGGCGAAGAGCGCGTTAAGGGTCCCGTCTCTCCTCGTCCTCCTCATCGTCGTCGTTTCGTCTCACGAAAGGAGCCGTCTAACACGAAGCGCCCACGCCGTGCACGACCCGCGGCAGCCAGCCTGCCCCGGGCGGCAGGTGTCAACCCGAGGCCCACCGCGAGGGGCGGGGTGGGGGGGGTGTCACAGTGCTGCACGGTCACAACCCGACGCCCGAACCCGGGCGAGCCGCACACGGCTCGACTCGCCAACATCGAGCGCAGCCGCCCTCTGCACGATCCTCCACCTCCTGTATATAGCGGCCATGCATTATTCACTGCTGTCGACGGTCACTCAGCAGCAGCAGCGCGGACAATGCAGCATCAGCAGCAGCAGTGCGCGCAATGGACACCGCGAGGCGCGCGCAGACCGCGTCCGCGGCACAATGAGCCGAAGCATGGCGATGCGGCAGGGCGTTCCGTCTTACCGAGGGGGGAGGCGGCCTCTGCGGGCAGCAGCAGCAGCGAGCGTCGGGAGCCGGCGGTGCGCAATGGAGGCTCGGGAGTGGAGGCGTCACGCGGCTCCGTGACTCGCGGCGGCCTCCGCGGGGCTCGTGCAGAGAAGGGCGCTCGAGGGGCGGCGCGGAGCGTGCGACTGCCTGCGGGGCTCGCCCCCCTCTCTCTCTGCTCGGCGCTCTCTCCCGCTACGCTCGCCGCTCTGCGCATCGCCTCACGCCCGGCGCCGGTGCGAGAGAGCGGCGAGCCTCCACCGGCGATCGCCGCACACCGCGCTCGCCTCCATTCATTAATAACGCGCCAGCAGCCGGGACGCGGTTTAATGGCTTCTCGGTTGGCTCACCGGGTCTCTCTCCCGCTCTCGCCTTCTCCCTCCGCAGCCCTTTCGTCCCCTCTCTCTCCCTCCGCCGGTAACGGAAGCGTTATCTGGTCAGAACGAGCTCTCGCCTCATTGCAGCTCGCAGCTCCCCGCGTCACCGCCGACTGACGCATCGCGAGCACCGCCTCGCATCGGCGGCCGCGCACGCAGCACGCGCCGCGCACAGGCGCTGAGCGCGTGAAGCGGCAGCGGGCGGCGCACCTCGCGGTCTCGCCGCGGTCCCCCGCAAAACGATTCTCGCTGCTGCTGCTGCACGGCTCCTTCACGTCCGCGAAGCCGAAGGGACGGGAGTCAAACTCCGCCCCTCCCCGCCGCGTCCGCCCCAGCGCTCGCATTCATTGCGGCTGCCGAACGCGCTCGCGTCGAGCGGCGAGCGCCGGCGCTGACCCGTGCGGATTCAGCACCGCCGCGCGCCTGGACAGCAGCCAGCGCCCTTACCGCGCTACCGGCCTCGTGGGCGCGCGCACGACGAGATGCGGCGACGGCGGCGACGTCGTCAGCGCCGATTGCCCGGCGACCCTCGGCCCCTCGTCATGAGCACTTCCCAACAGCGCTCGCATTGCCAGCGGCCGATCAATCGACGCCAGCGCAGAAGCTGCATGGGAAATGCGGTCAGGCGACGCGTGCGGTGTTGGGAGGGGGGGGCGCTCCTGCCGTGCAGGGGTGGAGGTCTGCTGGGGGCGGGGGGGGGCTTGCAGTGAACTCGCCTAGCCCGAGCGTGGCGCTCTTTCCCAAGCAGAGGACGGACAGCCGCGTCCACTGACCCGGGCGGAGAGTGATGGCTGTCTTCCAGCGAGGCCGGCACACACGCACGCACACACGCGCACACACACACGCACACACACGCACGCACACACACACGCACGCGCACACACACGCACACACACACACGCACACACACGCACGCACGCGCGCACACACACGCACGCACACGCGCACACACACGCGTGCACGCACACACGCGCGCACGCACGCACACACGCACGCACACACACGCACACACACGCACGCACACACGCACACACGCACACACGCACACACACGCGCGCACACACGCACATACGCAAGCACACACACACGCACGCACGCACACACACGCACACGCACGCGGTCGCACATTGTGCGCGTGGTGTTTACTTGTCAAGCAGTGCATAGCCATGTATAGACATGGCCATGTAATATTTGATGTCATATACTGTACATAAACGAGATGTGTATACCACAGTACGTTAAATATACTACCATTACAATAAATATCCAGGGCATACTGTAGCGTAGTATACACATTGCATGTACAGTATATGTATACTGTAGTCTACGCGGGTGTTCCTCAACCTCTTTGGAACAGTGACCCCCAATCAGGAACATTGTTTCCCGGTGCCTCTGCCCCCCTTCCCCATATCCTGAGATCCTCACCCAGGTCATTGAGGCCACAACACAGAGGTTCACATGTTCATGGCTCTCGTCAATATGGTGTTAGGCATGTGTTGCATGTTGGCGTGTTTTATGTCAGTAAGGCATTTGTTTCATTTTGTGTATTGGTATGTTTCTTGCTGCCGCAACGTGACACTGACCTTTTCCCCTACATATTCGAAAATTATCCTGCACGGTATCCAACGCTGCAGTCTGCGCCCGCCTTTTGAAATGGTCTGAGGCCCACCGGTCGAGAATCACTGCCTTAAGAGAACTAAAGTCAAATAACGGCGCTGGTGCCGTGGCGTAGTAACTACTCTATCAGCTCATGCGTGCGGTAATCGATCCGGCGCCCCCCCCCCCCCCCCATCTCGTGGCGGTTGTCAAGGGGGCCCCAACTTGTAGCTTCGGCCACCAGGGGGGTGAGTGGGCAAGGCGCCCACGCTAGTAACGCTATTGGAGGGCTGGTGGTCTTCAGTCCAGTCACGTGCTTTGGTGTGGGGGTTTGATGCTGCTCAGAGACATTTTCGTTTTCGGATTTCTAAGGATAATTTCAGATCTTTGTCGGATTTTCGGATGATTGACATTCGCTGTGAATGTGAAATATCTTCGCGCTGATGAGAGTGGCGTGGCCCGATGCCCACGTGCCGCCACCGTTTGGCGGTGATCAGAACGCCAGACCACAAAACAGCTGGAATCGTCAGAAATCTCGTAAGAAACGCCAGACCGTCGGGTTGTTTGATTCAAACCGAAAAGCGGGAGCACATCCCTCCTATGCATGCATGGTGGAAATAATGTTCTTCGATGCTTCTCCTGCATTCAGGCTTCGGCACACACACAGATAAATATTCCTCAGCACTGCAAATCTCGACAGGTGTTCTCCACGAGACGATGTCGATAGCGAGCGCCTGTATGGCAATGAGCCTCTTTGCATGAGCGCTGCAAGTCGACTTCCCCAGCCGTTCGAGGAGGGAACGGCAATTGGGCACATTAATTGGGCTGACATGGGATTTTCACATGGCGGTTACGTCAACGGAAATGGCTGTGGGCACGCTTACACGGCAATAGCGACCACTTGCGAGATGGCGCTGTCTCACGAATACTCACGGCTCTGAAAAAACAAACTGTGCCGGCGTCAATCGGCATCGCCGAACATCGCTCCCACGAATCCGACGCGTGCCATTGTTCCCATGCGCGGTTACGTCACTCACGTTCACACGTGGCGCCACTCGCGACCCGCATCAGAAACGGACGCTTGGCTGCGTTCGACTTTCTCACCACGCAGCACGCAGCTGCCGTGAGCAGCGAGGACACGGAGGGCTCTCACAGCCAGGCGCAGCACAGTCCGGATCGTGGAGGGGGTGGGGCGGTGGGGGGGGCAGTGCCAGGGGCTACGGAGCAATGCACCTCGGAGCAATGATTTCTGCATCCCCAGCATCGCAGCAGTGGTCAGCTGACCGGGCTGCTCGCGGGCAGTGCTGCAGCATCTACAACAGCAACACGGGGCCGGTGTAAGTGGCCAGAGCTCGCCATGATCCAGCCCTGCACATGCAGCAGTGTGTAGTGCACTGGCGTGTGTATGTGCGTGTGTGCGAGTGTGGGGAGCGGTAGTGTAGTGGTTAGCGCACTGCGCTACGAACCTGGCGACCGAGGTTCGAGGCCCGCTCACGGCCGACACCGGTGACGATTATTTGAACCGGTTCTGGGCCTCCCCTAGGTCGGCTCAGCCTCAAATGAGTACCTGATGCGGTACATAAAAACATCGCCACTCGGGGACAAATGCGGCCGGGCGTGGTGCTGGTCACCCGCCCCCTCGTGTGCCGTTCTGGCCTTGCCCCAACAGTCTGATCGGGCTATACGGGAGATTTTTTGTCTTTGTGCTGTGTGCGAGCCACTGCACATTTCGTTATTATAATTTGCTCCATGTCCATTTATCAGTTACGTAACACAAGTGACAGCCTGGGACATCGGAACCAGTTCAGGGAACGTGGCCACGCGCCGCTGTGAGGATGTTTCTCTATAGTACACCCCTCTCCCACACACATTTCAGACAAAGATTCCCCATATAACCTTCAACAGACTAATCTTGATTTGAAGCTTTCGTGACTGCAGGAATCCATACTCTTTGGTTCTTTCGGTAAAGTCACGTGGTTATAAAATAACATAAATCACGACGTTTCGGGCGCAACACTCTGATGATGGACGCTTGTGTTGCGCCCGAAACGTCGTCATTTATTTTATCTTAAACAGACTCTTGGGACGAGTGCTGTTAGCGAGCACTCATAGAAAGGCCGACACGGCACACGAGGAAGCGGTTAATTTTGGCCAGAACCACGCCCATCCGCCTTTGTCTACCTAGTGACAATGCTTGAACCGAGTACTCATTTGAGGCTGAGTCGACCTTCACGAGGACGGTTCAGATAATCTTCACTGGTGTTGGCCGTGAGCGGGAATCGAATTCGGTTCGTAACGCAGCGTACAAAGCACTACCGCTCCCCAACAATAACAGCCATTCGCCACTAAGTGGCGGTGACGTCCCCATGGCGCTTGTGGCAGGCTAGGTGCACCTTGAGGCCGTGTGAATGTCGAAGGCTCGCTAGCAAGAGGTCACGGGACAGACCCAAGTGCCGTGGGTTGACTGACTCATACACCCTCAAAGACAAAGATGCCTGCGACTGCTATACAGACTGGCCAATTAAGTAATGTTAGCGAGCACCTATTAAAGCCGACACAAAGCACGAGGACGTGAGGGACCTCTGGGTTCATATCCGGAATGCAACCGCTGATCTCAGGCAGCTCAACAATGACTGCACAAAATATACATCCATAATAGAGGTTTTTTGGGTTAGATCGCGTAAATAAATGTGTCGTTAAAACCCGCCACAGCCAACTAGTAAGGGGTGTCACGTAAACAGAACATGCCAATTCGTCACTAGTACAGCACACCGGTGTGTTGTGTATAGTGTAGTCTATAGTAGTGTAGTGTATAGTGTATTATACTAGTACAGCACCACCGGTGTGTTGGAGAGCCAAGCCACAACATTTACAATCTGAGTACGACGTTTCGCCAGTAATTACAACTAGCTTCAATATATATTTGGTGTTCAATTAAATATTGACGTGAGACTTCAGGTTTCCTGTTTTACAGCCATACCATAATCGTCACTGGAGCAGCGTGGGAAGCCCCCAGCTTGGTAATGGGATCATTTTGAAAGCTTTTCAGTGGTTCCGTGATATCTATTTCCGCGGGTACATTCTGTCATCATGTGCTGCACTGACATTGGAATTACGGACGGACACTTCGTATCGTGGCAAGTCGCAAATAGTTCCATTTTAATAAAATGAGGGGGCGGAGGTTAAAAAAGACTGAGTCGACTTACACACACTCACACACAGGTGCATGTCCAAGAGCTTCCAATATCGCGCGCCACGTGCTATCCGTGGCCGAGGGTCTAACTCGGGACACGAGATTCGTGACGGAGTGCGCCAGCAACAGAACCACCGCTCATCCACACGGACCACGCATTCCACCCCCTCGCCCCCCGCCCCGCAGAACCGATACGCGGATGCTGACGGGTCACAAACCCCGGCGCCCTGAACCTCGTCTCGCTAAGGGCGCCAGTGTAAGTGACTGCACTGGGAGCCCGCGGCTCAATACCGCTCAATGGACGGAGGGTCCCCGACCCGCCCTGGCCGTGCGCCGCCGCCCGCTGCTGTTTACTCGCGCGATCAATGCACTCCGGGCTCAACGCGTCCATGTCCGTCTCCGCGTCCAATCCCAGAGGCCCTGGAGCCGCGTGACCCCGCCAGCCCTCCAAGGTCCGAGCCGCGGTGCCGCCGGGGTCGCGTGACCCTCTCTCCACGGCCCCCCGAGGTGGGGGTCCATCGAGGTGATGAGAGTGGATGTCGCGTGGGCGGCCAGGAGATGTGGAGTGGGAAGCTGGAGGGTAGAATTTGCTACCGGCTGAGGTGGTGAATCTTGGTGCGCATTGCTTGTGCAGCCTTGTCCA